AAATTACATATAAAAACAAAAAAAAATAGAAATAAAATATCAAATACATTCCTGGCTATGGAGCTCCCTCTTCAAGGAGACCCGACTGAACCCCTGTTTGTTGTCCTTCTTGACGGGGGAATTCTAGGAGCCGGTTTCCTGTCTCAATCTGGAGTCTGCTCCTCGTTCATTTGGATCTGAAACCCTCTCCTCTTCCCCGCACGGTACATATAAAAACAAAAAAAAATAGAAATAAAATATCAAATACATTCCTGGCTATGGAGCTCCCTCTTCAAGGAGACCCGACTGAACCCCTGTTTGTTGTCCTTCTTGACGGGGGAATTCTAGGAGCCGGTTTCCTGTCTCAATCTGGAGTCTGCTCCTCGTTCATTTGGATCTGAAACCCTCTCCTCTTCCCCGCACGGCTTTAGAAACTCAGCGGCTGTGGAAGGCGTTCGAAAGGTTGCTACCCCCCCCGGGGGGCAGGTCACTCACCCCTGGGGATGGTGAAGTAACTCCTTGGTGTCGGATCCCAGCATTTGGCCACGGTCAGACTGATGGGGCTGGGGGTGAGCGGAGAAAAAGGAAAAATTAACATGTCCTGCCCTCCACTGCCCTGCTCAGCTCTTGCAAAATCAAGCCTGTGGCTTCTTATAAGGGAGTCAGTCCATCTCATATTTAGTCTTCCTCTTTCCCTGCTGCCTTCTATCTTTCCCAGCAGGTATCAGGAAAAAAACTTCCTAACTGTTAGAGCCGTACAACAACGGAACCAGTTACCTTGGGGGGGGGGGAATAGCACCCCAACCCTGGAGGCATTTAAGAGAAAATGGGACAACCCTCTGATATACTTTGATTGGGATTCCTGCCTTAAGCAGGGGGTTGGAGTCAATGGCCTTTAGAGGCCCCTTCAATTCCACCACTCTAGGGTTCGCCGAGTCTAAACCCAGCCTCCAACACTACTTGCAGGACGGGATCTTCAGAAACACTCACCCCGGCTTGGAGACGATTTCTCGCAGCACCCGCACGGCGTCATCGTTGCTCATATTCTCAAAGTTGACCTCGTTCACCTGAAATGCACACCAAAAAAACCCCCCCAACATTTAAAACCCCAGGATCTATTTTCTCCAAGCCATCAAGTGGCCCGCTACTCCGAGGCCAATACAGCTGCGAGGCCAGATGTCAAACTCACCGACAAGAGGTTCCCAAGTTTGGAAAATTGCTCTTTGGGCATGCCCAAACCCAGAATCCCCCAGCCACACCGGGCAAAGGAAATTGGGAGTCGTAGTACCAAAAAAACACAACACCTTAAGTTTTTTCTCCAAACCCACCAGCTTTCTTCCTTGAATAAATTCAAGGCCTTGGCACCATCTCACATGGGCTAAGGAGCCCAGACGAGTCATCTTCTCCCATATGTACTACCCTGCAGGGCTGGTGTTCAGAGCAGGTGATCTGGGGATGCCAGATCCAAAGGGAAGGAAGGAGGCAGAGGGGTGGGTAGGTGGGAAACAACGCCAAAAGCAGAGCTGTGAATCTCAAGAGACACAGCGGGCTCTGTATTAAGCCTAGAGGATGGTTTTTTTCTGTTTACATGATAATTCATGCCATCGGGAACCCTTCCGCTTGTGTGAGGCCTGAGTGCGAAATCTAGGCCAAGTTCACACACGGACATTTACAGTCTCAGAGGGATACTTAGCGCTCTTCGTCTAGCATGCCTCTTGGTCTAGGGCTAACCCTCCCACCCTTTCAGGCCAAGTTCACAAACAGACATTTACGGTCTTATGATACCAGAGGGATACTTAGCGCTCTTCGACTAGCATGCCACTTGGTCTAGGGCTAACCCTCCCACCCTTTGCTTCGAGGAAGGACTTTTGAGGCTAGAGGAACGACGGTACCACAACACAGATATTTCAAGATGAAATCCTTGGATTAAGGAATCCTCGGGCTTCAAGGGCAAGAGATAAAAAACAGTCTCTAAAAAAGGGAAATGTGAGAGCCTTGCCCTCAACTTGGAGGAATTGACTACAAACCCCATCGTCCCAATGGTGTTTGAGGAAGGGCGACAGAGTCAGGCCATCAAAGCATGGGAAGCGTGGGGCGTGCAAAAGGAAGCTCCCGGCAGCTGAGACCGCGGCTGGCACCCACCTGCAGAAGCATGTCTCCCGGTTCGATCCGCCCGTCGGCGGCCACGGCCCCGCCCTTCATGATGGACCCGATGTAGATCCCGCCGTCCCCCCGGTCGTTGCTCTGCCCCACGATGCTGATCCCCAGAAAGTTGTATTTCTCTGAAAGGAGGGAGGCTCCATGAGAACAGGCAAGGGGAGAGAGAGAGAGGGAGGGAGGGAGGGAGCGTTCGGGCCAAACGACAGTGTGGTGCAGTGGTTAGAGGGGGGGGAACCTCAGGAGAGTCCTGTGTTCAAATCCTGACTTGGCCATGAAGCTCAAGGGTTGATCTTGGAAACCCTTGAGGCCTTTTGACCTACGCCGAGGGCTGCTGAGGGTTAAAGAGCCATGGAATCACCTCGGAGAAAGGCGAGATCTGCAGTCGCACCGGTGGTGACCCAGATGTTCTTGGACTACAACTCCCATAAATCCTGGCCGGCACAGCCCGTGGCGAAGGCTTCCGGGAGTTGAAGTACGAGAACATCTGGAGATCTGCGGTTGGGAACCACCACTATCAACCAATAAATAGATGGAACAAAGGGTTGACCAGGATCAGAGCGGGCGACCAGGAGAGGTCGGGGTGGGGTGTCTGTGGGTCTCTCCTGCTTTCAACCCGTCTCCTCATCCCATGCTAGGAGGGTCCTGGGTTCCTCCTGCACTCTCAGGGCAGAATATCTGATCAATAGCCATCGAGGCTTCCCCACCCCCCCAGGCAATGCAAGCATTTCCAGTCATGCTGTGATGTCATGAACATGTCATGACATCACAGCAGCACAGCCCATCGGACTTACCCATGTTGAGGGTGACGGTGATGATGTTCAGAGACATGGTGGAGTCGGTGATGCTGCTGAAGGAGGATGACTGGCAAACAGGAAAGGAGGAGGAGGGAAAGGAAGAAGAGTTTCATAAAAACAACCACATCTCCAGTCATTCACAGGCATGGATTTGGGAGCCACTAAGAGGCCAGATCGTTAAGAGGGAAAATTAAGACATGGAACAAAACACAAGTTTTTTTTGCTGAGCTGAGGGGGGAAAAAGAGTACAATGTTAGTTTTCTAGCCCACACATACGGATATTATTTTTTGTGGGTTTTGTATTACTGTGACTGACACTTTGAGCATAATACACCAGACGTAACAGTACACTAACAGAAGGAAGAAATGTCTGGATAATTGATATTGCCATTCCAGGGGATGCCAGAGTTTAAAAAATTGGAAACATTAATGAAATACAGAGACCTGGCCATAAAAAATTAACTTACATGTGGATGAAACACATTTCAGTGGTCCCCGTAGTCATCACCGCACTGGGAATAATGGCATGGGCGTTTTATAAAACATTATAACTCAGATCTCTGAGAGAACACGATCGGCCAGTTTGTCCCAGTTTATTTCTCGGCCGAACAGCCGTTTGGCGGTTCCCAGCCCCGCCTCCTCCGGGGGCGCCCACTCAGAGGCCAGTGCCCAGAGGAGGAGGGGCTGAGAAGGTGGGACGCTGCCTCTGAGTGGGTGCCTGCTGGAGGAGGCAGGGCTCAGAACTGCTGAACCCCCGTTCCGCCAAGAGACGAACTGGGACGAACTGCCGGTTCGCGCCCATCTCTACATCGGAGCTGCAAAGAATGGCAATATTAGGAGCAGCATACACACCGCACCAAGAATTAACAAATACGTAGGGTTTTGGTTAAAACTTGCATCTGTTACACAAAACCAGTCAAAGACTGTGGGCTTGTGTTTGATCATCATCATCATCATCATCATCATCATCATCATCATCATCATCATCATCATCATCATCATCATCATCATCATCATCATCATCATCATCATCATCATTCTGGATCAGACTTTATAGGTTCTGTAAGAATTTAAATAGTCACAAATCAATGTGTTCTGTGAACCATATTAGACTCCTGATTCTATCTTCTATACATTCCCGATCTATAAAACACACACACACACACACACACACACGTTGAGAACTGGACAGACTTACTCTGTCAATGTGTCGCATCTTCTGTTTCCTCCGCCGACGTTTGTGTTTTCGGATGAGACGGGACGAAGTGCTTTGTTCAGTGGAGCTGCTCAACCTGGAAAATGGAGACAACATTTTTTTGGGGGGGGGTTGGGTTTCTTTTTTCTTTTCTTTTTTAAGAGCCCAACTGTAGAGTATTTGGCAACTCATGTTATTCTTTGCCAGGGTTTGTGAAGATTATTATTATTATTGGGACTACAAACACCAGAATCCTGAGGCTAGGGAATGATGGGTGTTGTAGTCCACAAACTGAACCTGGGCAAAGCCCTCAAGCCTCTTTGTCAGTCCAAATAAAGGGGTGACTGCAGTACGACCCCCCTGGCCACACGAGTTGGGGCTCTTAGCTGATTCACCTCGTCAATCGTTCACGCGCCTTCACCAGATTCCCCTTCCACCAACACCACCCTGCCAAACTAGCTTTCTGGCTGCAGGGTGGTGGGTGCAGAATGATTCCAACTAGTAGCTGGCCGTGATAAATCTGGAAGGGCAGCTGCTCCTCGCAACAGGCTCCTCAGCCACTCCCCCAGAAGGTGGACCCAATAAGGTGGGCAGCCAGATTGAACCACAGGAGCAGGTCTTTTGTAAAGCCAATGGCCCTTAACAGCCCATTCAAGACTAACTCGCCTTCAAGTGCCTTGCCTTCTAAGGGGGGTGGCTTGCAACAACGTTCTGTTCATTGTTCTCTCAGCTACCGTGAGAACGGCAACTAAGCTCAGACAGAACAGGGAAACACCCCCCCCAAGCGGGGCAGAAAATGAGGACTAGCTTCTTCAGAAAATCCTGAGACTTCAATCCATTGAGCCCAGGTTCCACTACACCACCAGATTCCAACACCCTAGATCTTTTGAAGAAAAGATTGGATAACCAGCCACCTTACCATAGGTCTGTCATAGCAATAGATTTCTCACATTAATGCGGGGTTAGACTAGATGATCTATCAATATTATCCTTCTCTCTGTGTGTTTGTGTGTAAAACAGGGTCAAGCCTACTCATAAGCAAAGACAAAAATCGTGGAGCCCTCCAACCTTTCTGCTTCGAAATTAAGTTTGATTTACGCCTGGCCTGCTCTGGTGGGAGGGGAGGCAGTGAGCTACCAAACAGTTATTTCTTCCCCGGGAGGAGTTGTAAATTCATCCTCTTTAAATGAAATATCTTCTTTTTTTTTAAAAAAAGGCTTATTAATATCTCCTGTCAGTGCCTTGTCTTCCCCAAAACCTCCCTTGAGAGGGAATGAGGAAGGTAAGACCTGTTTAATCTTTAGATGCTGCCTAAGAAGAGGGATTTCCAAGTCGAAAATTTGGACAATGCCACTGCAACCGACTGTTGCAGCATGGGGGGGGAGTTGTTTTGAAAATTCCACATTCTTGTTCCAACAAGGGGTAAATCTGTATTTCCATGCTGCTTTCTCACTGGGTTTTTTTTTCCGGGGGGGGGGAGAGATGTTCCTCATCCTAGTTTTTTCCCCCCTCCAGTAATGATGGGGGGCGGGGATGAATCAGGCAAATGGAACTGCTTTCGCAGCTCTCCCCCCCCCGCCCCCCGAAACCCCAGGCGAAGGAGGGACAGGACAAAGCAACCCGCAAGAGGGGCGAAACTTGGAAAAATGAAGTTTCAGGCTATGCATCCCGGCTGAAGGATTCCGGGACCTGTACTTTTAAGGAAACAACAGTTCAAACTTTTGATTCGGCGCCACAGCTGCTCCAAATCTTGGGTGGAATTCATGTAGAGCCAGCTCATCTACTAGCTGCTGGCGGGCTTTCTCCCTCTTATGCCGCACCAAAACCCATCTAAGCAAGCGGCACCATTCCCTCCTGTGGCAGGGAGTTCCACAGATTACAAACCGACCTGGTTGCCCGCATTGTTAAATCTCCGGCTAACGTGAGTCGCCGATGCCTCTTTCCTCACGCCCTTGCCCAAACCCCTTCCGCTACACCCCGTCTTGGAGGAAGGCTGGCTTTCTGATGATTCACCAGCACTCTGTACATGCTCAAAGAGACTCTTCTCTCTCCAGCTGTTCTCACTCAAAAGGCTTTCCCCTTTTCTCCAAAATGAAGCGCCAGAGACTAAGCAACCTGTTCTTTCGAAAGGCATGCGCCCAGATAAATAAATCTCTCTTTCTCAAAAAAAGTCAAGGTGGGAGTTACTTACACGTGGGTGGGAGGCGAGGAACGCTGTTTTATCCTGTTGTTTCCAGGCGGATCATCCTTTCCCCGGATAAACCCCGATGCTCAACAGCACAAGTGTCCCGTAAGACAACTCTGTTGTCCTACACATCCATTGCTCTCTCATGTTTCCTCCGCTTGCTGTGTACCGAGGGGAAGGGGGGGGAACCCAGCCCCTTCCAACTCACCCCCTGCCTCCAGCCCCTTGGTGGCGGAATGTCTCATCCGCTTACGAACATCATATCTAGAATATTAAACAACATACCTTGGTGCATTCCAACCCTTGGCTGGCCCGCCAGCCAGTCCCTTTCTTGTGCCAAACGGTCTAGCCGGGCTCAGAAAGAAACAGGGGGAGGAGAGAGAGAGAGAGAAAAAAAAAGGCCCAGGCATGGTAGCTGCCTTGAGGAGCTTGCCTCCTGTTTATTGATTTAATTTTATTCTTTTTCACGGAAAGGATCCAACCAAGCGGAGGGTTTGGTATTAAAACACACACCAGGGCTTAGCTGGGCCCCATGGGCTGAGCTGCATGAAATGACGCTGGGCACCCTTAATCCTAACCCCCCGTGCAATATTTCCTGTTGTGCAAATATCCTATTTATATTGAAAAAGAAAAGGAGGGGAGGAAGTGGGGAAAAGGGAGGAATAACTACCAGAACTGGGAAGTATCATCATCATCATCATCTTAGAACTGGAAGGGACCCTATGGATCATCCAGTCCAGCCCCTGTCAAGGAAGCCCAGTGGGGGATTCGAACTCTGAACCTCTGGCTCTTCAGCCAGAGATCTAAAGCCTTGAAGCTTATCCTAGTTACCGGTAACATTACTTTTGAGTTGTTTCTGTGATGCAACTATTGCAAAAGTAACTAGATTGTCTTACTACTGCAAGATTCCCTCCTTTGGCAGCATAACTGTACCATAACTTTAGTTACTTTTATAGTTATAGAAGGATATTTGACCCCACCACTTTTGGGGGATTTTTTTTGTGCCCGGAGTCTGAAACATTCTAGTGCTGCTTGTTTTGAACTCAAATGCTGATGACTGTTTTTTTTTGTTTTTGTTTTTTTTTGGAATGAAGAGAAAGGAGTTACTTTTTTTAAAAAAAGATAACTGCTCTTTGGAACGGCCCTATTTTCTTCTTTCTTCCCTCAGACACTGTCTTTTAAGCCAGAGATATATCCTTATTTTTCACCCCACCCTTGTTTTTCTGCAAAACAATTTCAGCCTTGAGAATTTCCCCAACAGTGAGTTTGATCTTCTGACTGGTAGCAGCTTCTTGATTTAAAAGCAGCAAGTAGCATATATAACATTCTTATTTAGACAGTGAATTCTAAGACACAGCCGCTCAAGAAACATATCTGGGTATGTTAAAAGCAGATTAAAACATACCTAAAAGTGGGTGGTTTTAGCCTTGCACTGGACTACAACTCCCATCTGCTGCACAGGAGTGATGAGGAATGTAGTCCGGACCATCCAGATAGCTGCCCCTGCTTCATTTGCTATGTTTACCTTGGCTTGGCTTTGTTTTAATAGACATAGGTCATGCTTTGTGCCATGTACGGGTGTGAAAGCTGGATGGTGAAGAAAGTGGATGGGGGAAAAAATGGTCCATTTGAAACGTGGTGCGGGAGGGGAGCATTGCAGATACTCTACTGCCAGAAAGACAAAACAAGTGGGTCCTAAATCAAATCAAGCCTGAACAATCTCTGGAGACCAAAATGTGGAAACTGGGGCTGTTCTACCTGGGGCCAATCATGAAAAGGCAAAGGTTTTCCGGAAAAGACAATAAGGCTGGGAAAAGTTGAAGGCAGCAGGAAAAGAGGAACACCCAATGGGAGATGGACTGACTCACTAAAAGAGCTGAGCTGAGCTGTTGAGGACAGGGCATTTGGGAGAGCGCTCATCCATAGGGTCGCCATAGGTTGGACACAATTTGATGGCACATAATGACAACATGCTTTGCACACAGGTCCAGCACGCCTCCCCTACCGGCTTGTGTTTTCATCGTCGTCGGAGTCCACGAAACTGCTCGATTCGAGTTCGCTGCTCATCACCGTGGAGGAGCTGTCGTAGCCGGGCGGATGCTCCCTATGCCGGTCGAGCTTCGGATGTCCATTGATGCGCGAGACTGGGAGAAAGGATACTGAAGATCAGACAAGGTAAGGATGAAGCCAAAAAGGACAGGGTCTAGGGATTTTAGACAGGGCAACAGCTTCGTTCATGGCATGGGAACCAGTGCTTTTTGTTTACAGACACCTGGGCTGTGTGACCCGAGTTCAAATCCCCACCACGATGACAATACTTCCTAGACAACTTTGGATGACTTCCTGTTTCACAACTAAATCACTGTGTTGCGAGGATAAGGCTGAGGGTAATTGGAGCACGGAAATGTTCTAGATTTATACCTCCCAGAAATTTCCCAGTCCGTAAGGTCTGGGGCATGGATGCACATTTGAAAAACGAGGGAAATGGACATCAGGAACATTCCAGGAAGTATAAGCTAAGGAAAGGACATAACTGGATTTGGAATAGCGGACGTTCTTCTGAACTCCTCAACAGGGAGGTAGGATTTTTTATTTAAAAAAACGGATAAAAAACAATTGCGAGTCTCCGTGAAAATAAGGTACAAGAATCTACCTCCAACAGATGTACGCCTGTACATCTGTTAAATTCAAAACTGCCAAGGTTTTGCATTGTCCACTTCTGTTCTAACCGAGCTCGATAAAAAGCATTTCCTTGACCCACAAAACGTGTCTCTCTCTCTCCTCCCGGCCACAAATGCTCAAATGCACCATGGATAAACCGGAGCAGAAGGGGCACGCTTTCTATGCACGGTTCACAATTGTATGCCGTTTTCCTTTGGCATGTTTCCGAACTGTGCACCGCGGCGGTAAGCTTTGTCGTCTCCTCCCCAGAAGCTCAGAAAATCAGAGCTTTCCGGAAGCAAATAAAGAGTCTGGAGTTGTGAGTCTGGATGCAACGGGGCCAGATTCTATACATACAGTTTTCTTTGAAAGATATAACAACAAGAGAACCTGACTTTGCGGATTTATCGCTCACGCTAATGGACTGGATCATCGGTCGATTAAATAACACACACACAAACGCACACCCCGGTGGCAGACTCAAGCCCCACTGCGGGATGTTTTCTTGTGAGCAAAACTTTTTGCCTGGAAACCCACGTGGGGTTTGCAAATCTAATAAGGATTAACAACCTGGCAGGGGAAAATTCTTGGCGATTACTTCGACACATGTAATAAAGAGTAAACAAGTCCGGGCATCCCAAAAATCTAATCCCCTGACAAACGTCACTTCATTCTGGACCACGAAATTCGGATGGAACGCATCCAGATTACCTGTCCTTTCCCAGATGGACAGAAATTGGGATGACAGGTGGCAGGTGTCAAAGTCAGACCCACCCACCCCCAGCACAGATTCCCCCCCCCATGTTGCTGGGTCAGGAATTGACTCCAGGCATAAAGGAAAACAGAACAAAACCCTCCCACCAGTTCCCGGCTATTATGGAGCCTTTACGGACCCACAAGAGAGATTTGTGGGGGTTTGTTCAGGAAGAGAGAGACGGGGAGGGAGGGAGACCGGGAGATGAGGGGGAGAAATACACACAGAAGGAAGAAACCAGAAAAATGGGCTAAATTTTAACCAGGTACTGCTTTCTGCGGTAACTGGGCAGGGGTTTATATCTTGTATTGACATACCAACACAAAAGCTTAGATCTTCTGTTGTTGATCTTTGAAAGGGGAAGAGTCACGTAACGGTGTGCCGTCATGTCAATTCTGACCTATCGTAATGCTTTTTCAGGGTTTTCTAGGTAGAAAGGTGTTCTACCATCCTCTTCTTCTAGAGGGGATTCCCTGGGACTGTGTAGCTGGCCCAAGGCTACCCAGGCTGGCTCTTTTCCCAGGAGGCCGAGTGGAGGAATTGAACTCACGGCCTCTGGCTCTGCAGCCAGGGACCTAAGCCACTGGGCTACCCAGCTAACTGAAAGAGGGAAGTAGAACCCACTTCAAGCAATCCTAATAGTGAGACATTTCAGAAGCAGTTTTACTAGTCCTCAGTGAGCTTCCACGGCTGAGTAGGGATTCGAACCCAGTTCTAGTCCATTACTCTGTCCACTAGCACTGGGTGGCCTGAGATCAGCCAAAAGATACGAAGAACCAAAAGATGAGGAGGAAGCACCTAAGAGCCTACGTAAGGCTAGACAATTGCACCCTAGCTTGTCTTATAGGTTGGCCAAGTTTATATCAAACAGGAATCAATAGTAATGATCTCAGGGTCATAGTTAGCACCCAATTAAATGCAAATCTCCAGAGGTGAAAGACACCAGTTGGATGCTCACACAACCTTTCCTTGCTCTGCATGTTGCCAAGGAGCCTGCTGTGCTTTTCCCATTGGCTACTGAGAGGTAAACACGGCCTTTGTTTGCATATCCAATCGCTCAAGCCAACATGCTCTGAAGGAATTACGTGTCTGGAAAGAAAATGGGGATAACAAGAAACACGAGTTTCCTCTCATGTATGATTTGAACCTCAGCACATGGGCAAAGAGATGGGATTTGCAATAAGGACGTTCTGGATTCAAACCATGCTTCAAAAACAGAACACACTAAATTCTCTCAGCTGAGTGTCCCTCTCATTTTGCCTGAACCATCGTTGGCATACAGGAAGATAAAGCACACCTGAGCACACTTAGAAAAATGAACGAGGAAGCATGAAAAATTCTCAATTATGGGAAGCTGGTAACTCAGATTTCGTGAAACTATGAATAACCTCCAGGTTTTTGTTAGAGCTTTTCAGGAGCTGTCCATGGTGCTGAACCACTTCCTCCAACCCAGGTTCAACACCATGAATAGCCTCTTCAAAGTTTGGACAAAAATCTGGAGTGGACACACCAACCCAGTGAAATCAAAGTTGTCGTCTCCACAGTTAGAAAATTGGGTCCGGGTGGTAAAAGTGGTTTACTGTGACAACACTCACATCTACTTAGGCTTTTTAAATTAGAATTTATATCCTGTCCTCCAAAAACGGGATTCAAGGCATCATTACAATAATATTGAAAAGGCATAATGAAAACATAAAATGACATCAAAGATGAACACTTAGCTAAAGAGCTAAAGACACAATATAAAACATAATTGCATATTTAAAAACACACACACACATCTGTGAACCCCCCCCAAAAAAACACAGCCACCACCCAGATTTGGAGGCATTTCTATCTATCCACCCCACCAAGCGCTGCTCCAATGGCACTGCCCATTATGACGCCCAATACCTACAGAGATAGACAGGAGGTGGAGCTTCTGGGTAGCACTTGATTGGTTCCAGTGGCTTCAAAAGGCGGCACCCCCAACTGCGGCCATTTTTCCTGTTGCTCCTGAGTCTTCCAGGAGACTGTAGTGGCACCAATGCTGGTGGCAGCCGTGATGTGCCATTCTGCCCACCTGGCGGCTGGCGGCCTCGGCCCAAACATTCCAAAAGCGAAGATGTGACCATTTTGGGGAGGCCACCTTGGGTGAGGAGGAGCCCAAATCCAAGACTGTGCACCTCAAACCAAATCCCAAACCATCAAAACCTCAGCAGTTAATGCCCAAGGCGCCAGCCTCTCACCTCATGCCCACATGAGACTTTAAAAATGGCAATAGAAGTAGAGGTTTGGCGCAGAGCTATGCATTGTGAATGGGAGAAAGGGGAAAACAGATAATGAAATGACCACGAAAGAAAGAAAAAATAATGGTGTGAAAAAAATTCAGTTCTCCAGCAGAGGCATCTTCAGAAGCTTTGAAATGATAGAAGGTACAAACTGGTATTCCTGAGCAGCGTTTTTGCTCTTGCAAACAAAATAAAAGCTGTAGAGGATTTAAAAGAAGAAAAAGGAAAGATTCAAATCCTCTCGATGGCCGTCATGTCCTCCCACATCCTTCCAAGCACCCCATGCATCCTGGTAACATTCAAACACTCTGAGATGGAAAGCAGTGTTGTAAAGAATCGCTTTTCATTTTAGACTCATCTAAAGCCACCCCCCAAATCCTTCTAAAGGCTTAAGAGAGAAAAGAAGTAGTCGTGCAATCTTGGGATGGAGAAGATTAAATTCTATGAACCCTTTTGACTTTGCACAATTGCTTTCAACTACCAGTGGGAAGAGGATCGTGGCAGAGAAAATTTGATTAAAGATATGCAAAAATGTTACTCTTTAAGGGGCAAATACGTTGTGATGTCAGAAATTTATACGGGGATATTAAAACACCTACCACTCCATTTCTTTTTAACTGGCCTTTTGAGAATATCAGATTCTAGAACAACTCTGTTGGAATAATTGGAAGAAACATACTGAGCTGGAGGGCATCTGATTACTAGCATTTTTATTAACTTTAAGTAAAATCTGCATTCCTTGGAAGACTTTTCAAAACTCACAGGGATCTGGTTGGTTAATTCAGAGAGCTGCCTTTTGGATTAACCCGACATACTCCTTAGAGTTAGCCAGATCCAACAAAAGGCAATTGCTTTTTTTAAAGAAAAATTGCTTCCAAAATACTTCTTAAGTGGTCAGCGAGTGAAGAAATTAACGCTGGGTATCGAACAGCGGCTCACTTCCTCTCTTCCTAAACTGTTGCAGTCATAAAGTAATTTACGGAAATAAGAGTGAGATGGTGGCCTCAGGCGGCAAATTCCTGGGGACAGCAAAGAGTGTTTGCCCTGTGGCCATTCCCCCTCTCTCAGAGAACAGTGCAGTGAGTTTCAGGAAGGAGGAATTTGTTCCCTTTAACCAGCTTGCTAACCCGAGAGAGAGCAGAAAAAGGCTCTCCCACTGACAGTATTCAACAATACCACTTTGGAAGTGACCTTTTATCTCTTGCCTTAGGCAGCAAAATGTCACGGGTCCACCTCCAGGAGCATTCCCTCTGGAACCTGTGTTTAGCCAACAGGGTGGATCTCTTTAGATGACAAAAGGAAGACGGTATTCTATTTTATTTTGTTTTATTTAGTCCTTTAGGAATATAAAGACTTCTACCTATTCTGTTACAAACTCACCCACCCCAGAAACGACTTAAATCCACATCCCCAATTCATACCAAAGCCTTTATCCTCTAAGCCTCTGTGGGATTAGGCAGCATTAAATCCGAGCATCTTAGCCTTCCGGGGTGAGTGTGTGTGTGTGTGTCGACTCATTCGCGTGTTCGTGGAACAACAAAGAGCGAACGTGTCCCTAACTTAATTTTTTTAACCCCATCTCAGACTCTGAAGCTTTCTCCGCCTCCCTGAATTTCATCGCCCCGACCCTCAAGCCCAAAACATCCCCATCAGCACATCTGGCGAGTTCTGACAGACAAGCATGGGTCTGAACAGGAGATGCAAGTAACAGAGAAGTATGCCTCCCACCCACATTTCTGCCTCCCAAAGGATACCTGTCTTTCCAGGTTGAAATCCAGCTTTTGGTCTCTTTGGTGCCTTGAGGCCAGCCTCCCATCCAGGCTCTTTCGGGTTGGAGATACCACCAGAAAACCCCCAGCCGACTCCAGAGGTGCCTCTCCAACACCCCGCCTCCCCCCCAGCTCAGCCAATGAGTGATGAGCTCTGCAAGAGCCCACCCAATGGCCATGGATTTTGGACCTTCCCCATCTTTTCCCCGATTCCCCAGCTGTTGCATGAAACGAACCACCTAGCATTGGGCCCGTTCATATTTTCAGCCAGCGGATAAGCGAATCAGTGGATACCGGCCCCATGGACAGGGGGGAATCTACTGTTCTTTCACTCGCAGTAGTAACAGCAGCATCAAGTACTACTGTACTAATTAATAACATAGAGAACCACCATCTTCACCAGGAACAACGGCTAATTCTTGAAGAGGATATTTTTTAAAAAAAAGATGTTCACCTGCAAATGAACCTTTATTTTAGTTTGCTTTCTGCTCGACCACCTGGACATCTGGAGAGAACCATATGAAAGCTTTTTTTTTGGTCCTTCAAAAAAACAACAAAAGACACATCTCTCCTCCCCAGCTCCTTTCCCATCCGCTGGGCGACTTCAGTCCTTTTCCCCCACACGTAGCGGTTCTCTCCCACTTGACCTCCCGCCCGTTACCTCTACTTCATCGGAGAGCGGAAGAGAGATCGGAAGGTTTTCCAACCGGGAGGGGGGTCCCAACCCACCGTGACAATGGGGAGGGGGGCGCCAGGCCAATCAAAGTGGGCGCCCGCCTTTACTTTCATCTGCTGGGCAGGCCGGAGAACTTGGCCCAAAGGGGGGGGGAGAGTCAAGGGAACCCACCCTTGGGAGTGCAAAATCCAACAGGTTTTGTACTCCCCAAGAGTGACAGAAATAACATGGCAGCAGCCCATGAGTCTAGTTCCAGCCCCAGGAAAAAAAAGGACACACACACACACACAAACAAGTACTCCCCAAGAGTGGCAGAAATAACATGGCAGCAGCTCATGGGTCTTGTTCCAGCCCTAGGAAAAAAGGACACACACACACACCAGCCAAAGATCCATGAGTCCTGGATTGGGTCGTCCAACATCAGCAGCCTTTACTCGTAAGGAAATCGGTGCATGGTTCACAGCACTCTTCCCGACACACATACGGGACACGGAACAGATGCCATTTATACATTAGGTAACATAAACATCTGGCCGCCCTTAAGTCGGAAGCCACTTGAAGGCGCACAACATACATTTTGTGTTTACTTGCATTCTCCCAAAGAAGCGCACTCCGAGCGCCTTTCTTTGAGTAGAAGTTGAAAAGGGAGAGGGAAAAGAATACTAATCATAAATCATCCTAGAACTGTGGAGGTGGAAAGGACCCTATAGGACATCAACTCCATCCACCGTCAAGGAGGCCCAGTGGGGGAATCGAACTCCCAACCTCTGGCTTCGCAACCAGTTGTCTAAACCACTGAGCTATTTAGCAGCTCATATGTGGCTTTGGGGTTTCCTCCCAATGAGTGGACACCAAAAGCAAAGATACACACATGCCTGGTCTCAAAGGATGACACTGGATGCACTCATTGAACCAGCCAGTTCATATGGCTTTCTCTTCCGTATCTAACAGTCGCTTCTATGTCCAACCGTCTGGATGGCCCACGTCAATAGACCCGAGACAGACATTCTCCTTGACGAATGTCAACATTCACACGGTAGACGCAGATCTTCTCATCCTGTCCTGTCCACCCCAGACACCACACAAGGAACAGAAGGGCCCATTTCACCACGCAGACACAATTACGTTGACACCTGCAGGAAACAACCATCACCCACCCAGCCGAGCCCTTAAAACGTCCGACGCGCTAACAAGAAAGCGCATCTCTTAATTACCATCCTAATTAGAGTCTCCTTTTTCTTGGTCACTCTTAGGAAACAGAAGGGAAGGGATTTTTTATAAAAAAAACACCAAACCTTTGTTCAATCTAAGACAGGTCCTGAGAATAGACCTCCTCTGGTCCTAATTAAGCGGCAGCTCCTGCTTTCCCTTTTAATGGGATGTAGTTAATTTTTTCCGGCTGTCCAGCAGGTCTGCCGGTTCAATAGGAGGTGGCAGAATTCCCTTCTCCCACCCCGCCGGTTGATCCCGAGAACGACATCTTATTTAGCCATTTTAAGAACAGCCGGACCCATTGACAGAGTTATCCGCTAATTAGACCAAAGGTCTAATTAGATGAAGGGAGACGGGCAGATTTTTTGCAACATTGTGAAAACACACATGGCCGTGAAAAATTGCTTTGCATTCCCAGAACTGTCGCCCTTCTGAGCAATTACTTCTCAGCCGGATTCGGCTCTCCTCCTTCTGTTTGGTGTGCAAATACACTATTGTTTGTTTGTTTGCTTATCATATTTTCACCCAGCTTTTCTCCTTAAAAAGGACCCAAGGAGGCTGACATCCTGAAAAGACAATATTTCAAAGCTAAAAACAGGAAGTTTCAACCCAAGGAAGACAGAAAGCAGACTTTACATCCTTTGATTCATTCCACCAACGGTGCTTCACGTAATTCCCCAGAACAGTTCCTGGGGTGCAAGAAGTGATGCCCAGGGGGACGTTTCGAAGGATTCGGGAGACCGAAGGGAGACAGGATAGCACTTCTCAAGTACTTGAAACGTAGTCAAGACCAAGGACGGGCAGGAGCTGTTATCATCTCAGACTGCAAGACACTCAGCGATGGGATGAAGTTAAAGGAAACTAGATTCTGGTTGACTACAGTGGTGCCTCGCTTAACAACGATAATCCGTTCCAGGAAAATCGCGATTAAGCGAAAATGTCGTAAAGCGAAATGAAAAACCCCATTGAAACGCATTGAAACCCGTTCATTGCGTTCCAATGGGGTAAAAACTCACCGTCCAGCGAAGATCCTCCATATGGCGGCCATTTTCGCTGCCTGTATAGCGAGGAATCCATCCCTAAGCACAGCAGGGAGCCATTTAAAGCACCCGGCGGCCATTTTGAAAACCCGATGATCAGCTGTTTTTGAAGCAGGGAACTGATCATCGCTAAGCAAAATTCCCCCATTTAGACCATCATTTTGCGATCACAACTGTGATTGCAAAAAGATCGTCGTAAAGCGGATTCATCATAATGTGGGGGCAATCGTTAAGCAAGGCACCACTGTATTAGGAAAAAATCTTCTTAACTGTTAGAGCAGTACAAAAACAGAACCCATGATCTTGGGAGGTGATGAGCACTCCAGCCCTGGAGGCATTCAAAAGAAAACCAGATAACTATCTGTCAGATCTGCTTTGATTTGGAATCCTGCCTTGAGCAGAGGGGTTGGGCTTGATGGCCTTCTGGGTCCGTTCCATGATTTTATGAACTCACCATCTTCATGGCCTTCCCGGGTCCTCCTCCGATGCCGGTCTTGCCGGTGGCTAATGACCGATTCGGCGCCCGTTTCGTTATCCAGGCCATCGCGGCTGCTGGCAGCATTTGGGCTGCAGGAAAAGGAGGCTCTGGGTTATTAATACAACAAGGTCCAAACTACAAATCCCAGTGGCCATTCTGCTTGGAGGGGAATCATGGGATTCGTAGTTGAAAAAAAAAAGAAATGTTCTGATTCTCTCCACCATCCCCCCCATCTGTTTGTTCGCTGCTGTCGTGGCTGCTGCGGTTGTCACTTGCATTGTGTCAAGGGGTTTGAAAGATTGTACAGTATCCAGTGGCCTGGCTCTTTTGCCTTCTCCTGACATCTGCACATCACAACAACCCTATCAGGCGGGCCAGTCTTACAATGAATCTAAGGCTGCTCAGGAGGGGATTTGACCTGGGTTTCACCAACAGACATTGGAAAAGATTGTTTTCTGGACTCTCAGAAATGTCCCAGCTGTTTTGGCCGGGTCAACTGATAGATTCTGGCCATGATATTGCCAAAAAAAAAAGAGGTAACTTTTCTACGTTCTGCACCCTCGTCTCGTATTTTAACCACTGCAGACAAAGACGCCCAAAGACGGAACATCCTCTTTCAGGCTGTTTCAGCAGCACCATCTTGTGGCCGAAACTAGTTTGGCATGAAAATCCATTTCTCTTTGGATTCTGTTGAACTCCGCTTCCCATCAGGCCTGACTGAAGGTCAAAGAACAATGGGAAGTGGCATCAAACCATAGGCGGGGTGTGGGGAGGAGGAGATTCGGCATTCCTTCTGCACAGCCTTCAAAATCACTTGGAAATGTTAAAAGGAATTTTTAAACAGTATTCTGAAACTAAATTACGCTGTGCTGCTAAGGTTCCAGTCCTGCCCACTATGCTTCCCCGGATGCCCATAATCTTTGGGCCGTTTTCCAGGTCTTTTTCCCCATTAGAAATACCTCTTCTAAGGCTTAGCAGCTACTTGGAATAAGAGCTTTTACATTAAAATGCACTGTTATTTTTGAACCCATACTTTGGCCTTTGGGACTACCCACCACTGGAATGTGATTCCTGAGAACGTTGTGGAAATCGAATTCAGACCTCCAGCTGAATGAGGTTCAGCGTCCCTTACTCTATATGCATTCAATACGACCAGGGAAAATAATTCTCCACTCTGGGAGTTCTACCTGACAAGACACTTAAAAATATGGCTCACCTGGGAGAAAGGCCTTGAGGCTTACTGAGAGGCCTAGCTCCTCTGAAGCTTCCTGTTCCTGCCCCAGTGTTACCTGGGAGAATTTTTTTTCTAAACAGGAAGCTAGGCCTAGCTAGGCCTCAACGCCTTCCAGCCGAGGCCTTTCTCCCAGGTGAGCCACAGTGAGGTGTCTGTGTGCCAAGCAGAACTCCCAGAAGGAAGAGTGATGGGATTTGTAGTCATCATCATCATCATCATCCACCCATTCCTCATAGATATTTGAAACGATCCTTACTGGAAGGAAGGGGGCCGGGAGTCTCCGATGCCCCCGGTTCTCTCGATAGGAGGGGGAAGGTCTGTGTGGCTTTCGGTGCACTGGGAACCAGCGTCTGAATGGGAGCTTTCTGCCAGGACCAGCTGAAAGAGAAGAGAGAGGGTTGGAGGGAGCATGTAAGGTAGGGCGCCTTGGCTTGCTTGCAGAGGTACCCTGCCAAGCAATTCATTCAGCCTTCTGGAAAAAGCCAAATGCGTCTCTGGCAGATAAAGGGCTGTATGAGGGAGAAGGGATGGGAATAGATGGCAGAGAGAGAGAGAGAGAGAGAGAGGAATGGCCTAGATCAGATGTTCCCAACTTTGGGTTCTCCCGATGTTCTTGGACTACAACTCCTAGAAATCCTGGCCAGCACAGCTCATGGTGAAGGCTTCTGGGAGTTGTAGTCGAAGAATATATAGGACCTAAGGTTGCAAACTTTTGATGCTTTTGAATTGTGGGTGCTGGAGGAGGACCTAAGGTTGCGAACTTTTGATCCTTTTGAATTGTGGTGCTGGATTGAGAGTCCCCTGGACTGCAAGGAGATCAAACCTATCTGTTCGGAAGGGAATCAATCCTGAGTGCTCACTGGAAGGACAGATCCTGAAGCTGAGGCTCCAATCCTTTGGCCATCTCATGAGAAGAGAAGACTCCCTGGAAAAGACCCTGAAGTTGGGAAAGTGTGAAGGCAAGAGGAGAAGGGGACGACAGAGGATGAGATGGCTGGACAGGGTCACTGAAGCGACCAACATCAATTTGACCCAACTCCGGGAGGCAGTGGAAGATAGGAGGGCCTGGCGTGCTCTGGTCCATGGGGTCACCAAGAGTCGGACACAACGACTAAACAACAACAACAAAGACTGGGAACTACTGATATAGAGGCAAAAACAACAAAATAGAAGTGGTTATAGTTTGGACTTATTAGAAGACAGGATGCGGGGGGGAAGTATTATGCTGGGATACGGGAAAGGCAGCAGGAAAAGAGGGAGACAGAATATGGGTGGACGGAATTGCTGATATAGAGGCAAAAATAACAAAATAGAAGTGGTTATAGTTTGGGCTTATTAGAAGACAGGATGTGGGGGGGACTATTATGCTGGGATAGGGGAAAAGAGGGAGACAGAATATGGGTGGACTGACTCTATAAAGGAAGCCACAACTTTGAGTTTGCAAAAGCTGAGCAGGACTGTTAAGGAGAAGATATTTTTGGAGATCCGTCGATGCTAGGGTCGGCAGCCCCTTGATGGGACGTAACAACATCCGCCCTGATGGCCACGGAGATGCGGCCAAAGACAAACAGAAAATGCCTGCCAGGAATCTCAAAACTAATGAATACATATTTAAGAGGCCTGTAAGATTTGCCGGGGTTGAGGTTTGAAACCAGCGTTGAGGTCTCAGGAAGGACGGCTTCCTAAAAGCAACAACATTGCTGTGTAATGATTGTACACAATCCACAAGTTACAGTATCTACGCAGCAGCTTGTATAACAGCTAAATGTTAATAAACCCCAACAAATCCAAGTGTTGTGGTCTCCAGAAAAGGCTAGCAGATGATCCCATTTTTTAAAAAAATTGAAATCTAACTAGCATCCAAGCCAGACTTTATGGTCTGTTCTTCCCACCAGTCCCCCTAAAACAGGGGAATCACCCAAGTCAAATACAGAGGAGAGTGAAAAGTGAGAAGAAGCTTGCAGGGGAGGCTAAAAATAATTTTTAAAGCAGTTTTTTTAGTTATGTTTGAAGCATAAAGTAGAACAAGGAAAGGGTGAGGACGTGCTAAAGAGTTATAGGGAGAAGGTAGAACTGCTCAACATCTCCTTGGCTTCCATCATAATCAAAAAGGGAAAATAATGTTAAACCAGGTGTAGACAGAAGCAAGGGAAGGAAAGAAGTGGTCCAGGAACATCTTGACTGTAATTGGAGCCAGGTCTGCCCGTAGGTGAGCAGCATTCAAGGGCACTGAAGTAACCTGGCGAAATAATAACAAGGGGAAATTTTCAGGGAGAAGAACTAGGCAGCTACAAACTCATCAGCCTGACGTCAATACCAGGAAAAATTGTAGGATGGATGATGAAACTGTAGGTCGGAGAACACTTAGAAAGAAAAAAACTGGATTCCTTGGAAACAAGCCATGGCAGACCCATCTTATTTCGACCAGAGTGACAAGCTTGGTAGATAAGGGGAATGCTGTTGATGTAGTATATCTTGATTTCATCACATCTTCTGGTAAAGCCTACCATGACTCCTTGCCAACAAGCTGGTTTGATGCAAGTTATTATGAGAGAGTGGCCTTCCCCACTAGCTGTGTTGCCCAGGGTTTCTGGGAGTTGTAGTCCAAGAACGTCCAGAGATGTTGCCCTTCACATTGATACACAAATAATGGATCAGCTGTTGCTGGAGATGACAGCAAACCATCCTGACCAGTGGCCACTGAGGACATTCCCCAGATAGCGGATTGTCTGACCATAGTGCTCTGAAATGTGGTTTTGATTTCTACCACATACACATGATTGCAGAAGAACATGCAATATTATACTGGAAATAACCATGAGTATTTACACATACAGTATGTATGCTGTAGTTCCCTACCTAGGAGAATCATAGAATCTGTTTGACTCAGAAAGGCTGTTGCCAACTTCAGAGTTTGGGCACAACCTTAGCCCACGGCATCCATGTCACGATCGCAGACCGAAATTATGAACAATGATCTCGGTCGATATGCCTCAAACTCTGTGCAATCCAGGACACCCTCCCCCAGCCCAGATTATCTCGATTTGTTTGCAAATGTTGAGAAAGATCTTCACAAGGGCTCTGCGCGGCGCCTCTCAATCCGAGAGCAGGTTGAATGGGTTTCCATCAAAATGTACGAATCGGACTGCGCTGCGGCAAGGAAATGGACACACACTGAGCGAAGGCGCATAAGGAGATAACATGGCTTCTCGGGCACCGGTTGGAGGGCAGAAAGATAACATCATCACGAGCCAATGAGAACCAGGGCCAGCTCCCCAAGCGACAAATCGGAATTTTTTCCCTCCTCTCTCTCTCTCTTTTCTTCTTAAAAGGCACGTTCCTCGTGGCAGTTCTGCTCTTGGACCAAAATGGAATGCCGACAATAGCAGAACCTGCCACCAGCTGAGATGCGGCGAGTTTTAGAAACGGCATTTCTAATTTCGCTCTTTCTTTGCAGATCAAATAATACGCCGACCCCAGCAGGGTGGCTGAGTCTGTCCAAAGGAAGGAGGGATCGGCAGAAAGGAGGAGGAATTTGCAGGAACATCAAGAGATATTTGCACACTCAACTGCCCGAGGGGGCATAGAAGGGCGTAATCTAACCATGCTGGTCCAGAGAGAGAAGGGAGGGAAGAACCTGGATAAGAACTCCCAGAATCCCCTTAGCCAGAATCAGCTTCTGGCCAAGATGGCTGGCCAGGACGTTTTAAGAATCGTTAAGTTAGAAAAGTTACTTCTTCAGGTTCTGCTCCTGAGTCACTGGGCTTGGGAGGGTCATCCACTGAGAGCAGTAACCCAGGCGGCCATTTTCCAAGCGGTCATCTGAAAATAAGAAATGACAACCTTCCCTACATTTTTCAAAATCCCAAGGCTTAACGCTATCCTTCTGAAGACCCCAAAGCGGTAGTTCCCACCCGTGGGTCCTCAGATGTCCTACAACTCCCAGAAGCCTTCACCACCACCTGGGCAGGCCAAGAATTCTGGGAGTTGTAGTCCAAGAACATCTGGGCTACCCAAGCTTGAGAACCCCTTGACCTGGGAATAGGAGTGGTGGGTTTGGACGATCTTTCCCAGAGAGCGTCAGATTCTCAGAGTGGCAGGCCAAAAAAAAAAGTAACTTCTCAAAACTTGGGAACGCCTTAAAATTGGGTTTGGAGCCTCTTCGGTGGCTCCACCTCGCCATCCAGTCAGACGGGGGCTGGGGGGGGGGGAACCCCAAACAGAAAGTTTAATAATAAGTTCCTAAATGCACCCGAGCAGGCCAAGCATAAAAAGATTAAATCCTCATAAATCCGCCCCCGCCTGCCTTAAAGGCACGTTACGGCATGAATCATCCTCAATTAATGTGAAGTGATGCATCGGGTTGCTTCAAATCTCTTCTTCAATGTCCCAGGACAAAAACTAAAACTAAACCAGCCACCAGCCTGACCTTGAACAGCACCCATGGCTCAGAGCCAGTCCTCATGAGCCTTCCAGCGGGCGTGAAAGTCCTCGCACTGTAATAAAAACCTGACTGAAAATCAATCCAAGCCCATGTGAAAAGGGGGGAGCCTTTTTAAAAAAATCGTTGAGGACGACGGGCAAGAATGGGCAGCAAGGCTGGGCTCAGCACAGAATTGGGGGGGGGGATTCCTATTTCCAGAAATATTGGCAAAGTTTGTCTAAGATTGTCAAAGGTGCAGAGGTGGGAGGACTTGAGCATGGAATGCAGGAATGCAGCAAGCTGCTTGAAACAGAAAATCTACCTGTCTAGAGCAGGTGCACTTCATTTACGTTGGAGGCAGCTGCTCTCCAGGACCGACCGGCCGATCTTATTTAGAATATTTAGACAAACCCGGAGATGCTAATCTGGAGATGCCACATCCTGGACCTGCTGCTACTGAGCTATAATGCTTTCCTTAAATGTTAAAAAAGATTGTAGTCCTCATTGTTCTGAATAAGGGACTGTTCTCAAAAGGAATGTGGAAAACGATCCTATCCACAGAATCAGAACACAGCTCCTGGTACCTTGTCCGCACTGACCAGCCGCCTATCTCCGGGATTTTTAGGGACAGGTTTTCCCTGCGCGATCGGGAGAGGCTTGTGGACCGAACCTGGGGTCCGGCGTCTTGGATGGCTCCGTAAAGGTGGGACTAAAACCCGGGGTGGATTCAGCACTCCCATTTTATTGATGTCCAAGAGCAGGCCGACTTACCCAGGATACGACCCGTCCGTTGAAGCAAGGTAGCTTAGCATTGTCGTCCGAGATCTCCTCCTTCACCACCCTAGGATGAGAAAAAAAGCACGGAAAAACGTCAGGAATGTGGACATTTAAATAAAGCTACGTGAAACACTCAAAAGATGCTCATTGGATGCCGGTTATGGTACGTGTGCATTGTTTCCTGTGTCATCAAGCCGGAACAGACTTACAACAACCCTAAATAGGGTTTTCAAAGCCAGTGAGATATTTAAGGAGTGATTTTACTCCTTTCACTTCTCCAATGAGTTTCCACGGCTGAGCGGGGATTCGAACTCTGTTCCCCAGAGTCTTTGTTATTCTATCCACTGCACCACACTGAGTACCTAGGTTATTGTATATGGCTGCTCTGTATATGTAAACCAGGTATCTTGTACACCCAAAGAACAAGACATTAAAAACCCTGAGGCTGGCAGCTAGAGAGATAAAATATCTGGTGGCCTGTCCTACTTCGCAGGGTTGGAAGTGCTGACGGGCACGTTGTGTCACAGGGCCGCCAACGCTGACCAATAAACGCCCACAGAGTTCTCCAACGTGAAGGAGGCTGTGATTCTTCCTGCCCATATTGCAAACCTGCCTTTGGCACCCCATCCTGGTTCGCAAGGAGGGGTGCGCAATACGATTTTTAAAAGCTGGGCATTATAAACACAGCACTATGAAGACAAGAGAGGGTTCCCCTTAAAGGAACGGCAGAATTAGAAACCGTTCCGCAACCACTCAAAAGCACAACAGAGAGGAGGGAAAGATACCCCCTGTGTGTGTGTGCGCGCGCGCAATACGATTTTTAAAATATGGCAATACGAAGACAGAGAGGGTTCCCCTTAAAGGAACAGCAGTATTAGAAACCGCTCCACAACCGCTCAAAGGCACAACAGAGAGGAGGGAAAGATACCCCCTCGTTTAAAACGCAACACACACACCAGTCCAAGTGCTGTTCAATGCAGCGATTTCCCTGGCTGGATAGCTCGGAGGCTTAGATCTCTGGCTGCGGAGCCGAAGGTTGGGAGTTCGATTCCCCCCGCTGTGCCTCCAAGGGAGAAGAGCCAGCCTGGGTAGCCTTGGGCCAGCTGCACCGTCCCCAGGGATCCCCCAGAAGAAAACGAACAGGAGACCACTTCTGATTAATAACTGGATAGTTTCGGGATCTGGCTGCGGAGCCAGAGGCTGGGAGTTCAATTCCCCCACTCTGCATTTCAGAAGAGCCAGCCTGTATAGCCCTGGGCAAGCTGCATAATCCCAGGATTGCCCCCAGAAGAATGGAAGACGAAACCTCTTCTAAGTAGTCTCCACCTGAAAAACCCGAAAAGGATTGTCATAAGACAGAAGTGACCTGACATCACATGATTACAATTAGTACTCAGCCCTGTTACACTGAAGGTGTAAGGAACAGAATGAGGGATAAGATCTGGGTTCAAATCCCCACTCGGTCATGGAAACTCACTATTAAAACCGCTTAAATGCCTCACTTATCTTGAGAGTCCTATTAGGGTCAACTCCGACGTGACGGCACATCACAACTAGCCTTTTAGGCTTGTGTATCAGAACCGACCAACAGCCCTGTGTTACTTTGAAGATTGCAGATTGAACCACACCTACCGATTTCCTGAGATCCTGTCCACTCAGTTTACTTACTGACTTTGACCCCGCACGTTGGAAAGCAGGTCACGCTGGCCAGGACATACCTGGGAACCTTGGAGCCCAAAAGTAACTTTTCCTAGCTGTGAGACATCAATATGTCCCAGGCCACAGTTTAGGAATAAGCCCTTCATTTCCCTCCTTTCTCTGTAACATCGAGCAGAAATTCACATTTCTTTTCTACTCCCAGATTAGCTCGGTTTGGTCCCTAGAGGGAACCGTTGACTGGAAATGCAATCAAGCTTGTGGCTTTTGGATATTTACTTTTTTAAAAAAAATCATCTCTCTTTTTTGGGTTAACCGTCCCTTTGGTTTAAAACAAAATCCTTTTAAAGCTACAGAATCCAGAAGTGAGTCTTTCAACCCTCATCAAAAGGGATAAACACAAACACAGGGTGAAGAAATTAGAGAGGATCTGATCCCTTCCTGCTGTTTGGAACATTTCCTTGGAGTTTGAGCAGGTGGGACATTTTTTTGGACTATTGCACCCATGATATTCCTTGGAGTTTGAGCAGGTGGGATCTGCCAGACATTTTTTTGGACTATTGCACCCATGATTCTGACCCATTAGGGTTGATGGGACCTGTTCTCCATCTGTCTCAGATTTTTTGAATGTTCGTTCAATTACTCCAGTTGCACGGCGGAAGTGCATGGAGTCACAGAACAGAATTAGATTCAAGTTCTCCTACAGTAGTCCACCCCTTTTTCCCCCTCATCAACTGGCACTTACTATCTCAGTCACTCCGTCGGAGACATTAAAAGAAAGAAGGAAAGAAATGTTTCTTTACTTGCAATGAACAGATAACAGCAAACTAAAAAAATAACATGACTGCTGTCAACAACAGGGCTCAGATTTCATTGATTCCAACAGACTCAAGAGAGGGAAAGAACAGAGCAGAGAGGCGGGACTCTCTTTGAATCAGAGGCAGGGAAGGAACGATTGGTTAGCGCTGTTAGTGAGTGACAGTCACCACAGCCCAGGAAGGTTCCTCCTAGCCGCACCTACTAGAGACAGCATGCAAGGTTGCAAAAACTCTTAACACCGTCAACATCCAGAGGGTCTCATGTCTCAGATTCCTGGGTCAGGGTTTTTTTTAGTATAACAGAGATGTGAGGAGTATATGAAATGTTTCTGGTCCACTATGTTTTTCTGATCTCATCATGCTGAGATTCTCAGCTGAGACCTCCCCTGGGAGCAATCACCGAAAAGGCCCTGGTGAGACTAAGAAAAGAGCCTATCATGCTCATGTGGAAAAACAGATCCTTTAGAAAACCTCGACCAAAGCCATCTGGAGTATTACAGGTCGTTACCAACATATCTTTGAATTGCGCCCAGAAAAAGACAGGTAACCAAGTGACGCTGTCGAAATGATTAATTCTCACTAGCCGACTCCCATTTGGGGCCAGCTGAAGTGTCTGCACAGTCTTCAAAGGAAGGCCCAGGTACAGCACATTACAGTAGCCTAAGCGGGATGTAGCGAAGACATGTGCCACTACAACCACGTCCGACATTTCCATGAACGGACAAAGCTGGCGCGTGAGCTTTAAATGCACGCACGCGGCCACCATCAAAGCGTGGGCATCCAGCCTGCACACTTAAGCTCGCAGAAACCACCTTATCAAAACACAATCAAACAGGTAAAGCAATTCAATCGCGTTTTGCAAAATATTTCAGTAAATTCAATAAGGCAAAAGACCATTCAAAGCCAGGAAAGTCAAAATAATCGAGACTGAACACAGAACAAGTAGAGAGCAAAGCCAGAACTAACATTTTCAGAAGCCACGATCTCTGAATGTCCAAAGCGACACACGCTAAAGGTATTCAACACATTAAAATTGCACCTTCCCGCAGCCATTTCAGGCGATCAGTTATTAAACACCAATTCCCACACAACCCTCTGTGCTCCACATATTTTAAGTGCACTGCACATTGCTGACTGCAATTTAATCAGCAGAACAAGTTAAAGAGGGCTCTCTCTTTCTCTGAGTAAGCAGCCTTTTAAGTTCTGCCTTGGGGAATAAAACAGGAGAAGGAATGAGCACTGAATAAATACAGCATTTACCACCCCTTTCAACTATACACATGCCCTTGTATTTGTGGCTGACAGTGGGAAGGGGGAAATTTGTATAGGGCTTCTCTGTAAACAGCCACTCGCCTGTGGCGAGTAATAATTCCTGCCAAGCAACCAGACAGAGGCGAATCAAGTGCAACGATACAGCAATGAACCAAATTACGTATGCTTTTGTGCAGGGCTAGGAAAAGTTACTATTTTAGACCACAGAAACATCCCCCCCCAGCAATCAGAGCTTGGTCTCATTTTTCCTTTTTTTAAAAAAAATCACCCATTGTTCTGTGCAGTTGAATGCTGTAATGTATGCCTTTTCTGGCAAATCAAGCACAAGAAAAGTGTGTAAATTATAAGTAATTGTGTGCAGTTTGGCTTCCCCCTCCGCCCCCCCCCGGAGAGGACAATGTGTAGCCAGCATGATTGAGAAATTTAAACCAGAGCGAGTGCTTTAAATGTTATGTGATGGTATATAAGCAGAACATTTTTTTGATGTTGAAAATATTTGAAAATATGAAACACAAGCCAAAACAGACCAAATCACACAAATACTAACCCGTGATAGATAACAGATACAAATTTTAACCAAAAACCCAAGTATCTGTTAGATACTGGTGTAGGATAGATACTGTTCCTAATATTCGTGTTTTTTACAGCTCTGGTGGTGTTATTTCAGAGATCTGCAGCTTATTATAGTATTTCGTAAAATTCCACAGCATTGATCCCAATGATTAAGGGGGCCACTGAAATGTGTTTCATTCAGAAACATGTTATATCTATTGCCAGGTCTCTGTTTTTTTTATATTTTTTCCCAATTCTTTATCTTCAACTCTTGCATCTCCTGCAATTGCAATGTCAATTATCCAGTCATGCCTTTGTTTATTATTATTATTATTATTATTACAAAAATTAAGAAGCAGACACAACTTTTATTAAAATGCAACAGCAAGTAAGTAAAGCCAGCTTGCCCTAATAGCCAACTCAGGAACGGGGAATGTGTTGCAAATTAAATGTTATTCCAAGATGGTGGAAAAGGCGCAAATACAGTAGAATCACCATATCCGCGAGGGATCGGTCCCAAGGCTTCCCTTGGCCTTCCGCTGGCCTGGCTAGGAAAGGTTTCCTTCTTGACAACGATTTCAGTGGAACGGATTATCATCATCTAGCAAGGCACCACTGTACAGTATTATTATACACCAGACACAGTCGAAATTATAAAAATATTGACTGATATGATGATGGTGATGGAACACGCTTTGCCTGAAGCCAGTGGACATTATCAGTGCAGTACATTTGCATGCATAGATATTTTAAGCAATTTCAGCAA